TGGGGGGTGATTTCTCACTTTCTATCTCTCTGTCTCTCTCTGTCTTTCTGTCAAGCGCACGCACCCTATAGCAAAAACCTCTCCCCCCCCCAAAAAAAAATCAAATCTTGGATCAGCAGATGGCATGGAGGTTAAGGTGGCTGGATCTCACATGGCCAAATCCAAAATTCAAGTCTTGACTTGAAAAACATGCCAGGTGCATGTGCATGTGTGCCTAAAATCCCAAGAGGAGAATGGAAGAGAAGGGATTGCTGGGTGGCCATCTCCCTGGGGGTGATTTCTCACTTTCCCTCTCTTCGCTCTCTGGTAAGCTCATGCACCCTATAGCAAAATCTGAAGGAAAAATATACCAGATCTTCTATTCAAGATGTTCCAGATGTTATCACATGTGTGAGAGATCTCTTAGCAGTGTCTCTCAGAAATAACAGATGCACATCCTTTGGCTTTTAGCTCTGAGTTCTAGTTCCAGCTCCACTGCTAACTAGTGGAACAACCCTCAACAAGCCATTTAACATCCGCTTTCTTAAAATGAGTCAGCTGGACTAAATAACCTGTCCCTGTTAGTTTTTCTTCCTTTCCAGAACTAAAAATACATGGCTTCGATATGACTGAATCAAGAACTCCAGGCATCCTGCTAAACGCTTCCCTGGCTCCTTGAATGCTTTCCCTCAGACCCAAAGCTAATGACACAAGAATTTAGAGGAAGAGGAAACAATGAGACGCACCTGGCAAACTGGAGAACAAAGGAGGGAAGGAGCCCAGCTACTCCTGGGACCCTGTCCCAGAAGGCAGTTGGTTTTCCACTACCCTAAAGGCCACCCCACTTCTGTCTTTACTAATACAAGGCTTCTTCTCCAGCTCTCTGGGAAGGGAGACATCCTGGCTTCTCTCACGAGGTTCAGACTGGCTCACCTTCCAAGTCTCCCTTCCCCTTCCCTCTCGCATTAGTCCTCCTCTCCTCGGTCAGCTTCGTGGTGTCAAAGTAAGTGAACATGGAGCCCACGCCTGAGGAATTTCGAGCAGACGATAGCAGGTAGGCCTGGCTTTTTGCACCACTCTTTCTCTGTCTGCTCAGGCCCACTCATACCTCTCAGGAGTGTACTTTGACTTTGACTTAATAAACCACCTTTTCCTTACCAAAAAAAAAAAAAAAAAAAATTAAAAGAGTTAGGCCTAATAAGTGGCCCCAACCTTGCTGCCACTGCAAACATAAGCAAAATGTACTCCAGGTCGTTTTTGACAAACGCCTTCATTAGACAGAAATAGAACTTAACCCCAACCAATCATCCACCACTAATTAACATGATTATGTGATTAGGGACGTTCCCACAAAGTACCTGAAAAAAGGCAGTTTGATAACTGCACACTATTTATTTGGTTTCTGCATTTTCCTAACAAATACTTGCCTTTATGTTTTGACACTAAACCTCTTCCGGTCTTCTGTTCCCTGCTTCATGAATTGCTTCTTACTCAAACTCTTTAAAATTTTGTTGTGCCTCGAAAAGAATTTTTTTTTTTTTAAACAGTGGTGATGGAGAACAGAGTTCAGTCTTGTTAGGCCCTCCCATGACTGGGGCTCCATCTTCCACAAGCCTTCTCTTCTTTGACAGGACTCTGCTTTCCTCCCATTTTCCTGGCTCTACCTTTCAGATCTCCACCGTGCCCCCCACACCAGACCCTGGCACAGAGGAGAAAGCACAACCACTCCCCATTAGAACGCACCTCATCCTCTCCCTTTCCCCATTCTTCCCCATTTATGGTAGAAGACCTAGCATGACAACTCGGGAGAGTCATGGACTTACCTAGGATAAGTGTCACGGCAAGGATGGCTACAAAGAGGACATCCATTCTGAATTCTGCACTATCGCTGTGAAAGTAAAAAAGGAAATTACTGTGTTTCCCACCAAACTTACCCCGCCTCCTCGTCCCAGGGGACAGAACTCTCCGCCTACGCGCTGGCTGACTGAGATCTTCAGCTATGACAGGTCCTCAGCCAGGGCTGCCCAGATGAAGAGAAGGCAAAAGCGAGTTTATATATTTGTGCTGAGCTGCCCCAGCTCTAGAAGAGATCCGTCAAGACTCCTGCTGCTGCTAAACACAAAACAAAATGTAACAACGAGAACAACAAAATCTACCCAAGAGCATCCATCCCCTCTCCTTTCCCTTCCTTTCTCCCATCCAGTCCACACAAAAAGTGCACCCTCCCTCTCTCTGTTTCTAACTCACCATCACCATCCAGAGCTGCCCTTGTCTCCGAAGCTTCAACCACTGTCTCTTATCACAGTGGGAACGTTCTGAGGAAGGGGCGAGTGTTTCCTGTCCTGAAAATAGCCCCTCTCCTCTGTCTGCCTTGGGCTAGGGAGGATGGGAGCAATATTTAACCTTGTATGACTCTCACACTATCAAAGCACCTGCTGCATTGCTTCTGATAAAAATCTCTCTACTAAGGCCAGTTATTTCCTCTCTGATAAGTACTGACCTCACTTCACCTCTTTCTCAACTTCCTGGACACAGGATGGAAGAAAAGAAGAACAGATAGTCTTTCCCTGCTGCAGGTGCCCTCCCCACCTCTTGCAGTCACTTGTTATATTCACTTCTTTCAGTCCTACAGGGGTACAGTTCTTAGCCTTCTCTCTTTTTGCACATTTCCTGTTTTTATTCAACTCACACCCTCTGCTTGCACATTTCCTGTTTTTATTCAACTCACAGCAGAAACCTTTAGCAATTATAGGCTAGGCATGATGTGCTAGGTAGGCCTAGTCTGATAGAAGATTTAGAAGTCACAGGAGGGGCCAGCAGGTGGTGAGGTGGATGAGGCACTGGACTCCCAGATGGCTGAGCATGGATCAATTCCCAGACCTGGTGGCTGGCTTTCTCACTTTTCCTCTCTCTGTCTCTCTCTCTGTGTGTCTCCCTGGTGAGCACATGTACCCTATAGAAAACTTTGGAAAAAAAGAAAATAAACATTAAAAAAAAATAAGTCACAGGCAATGGGATAAAGAAAAAGAAAAGGTTTTTTGTTGTTGTTGCTGTTTTATAGGGTGCATGTGGTTGCCAAAATCACCCCCAGGGGGGATGATCATGCTGCAATCGCTCTTCTTCCTCTTCTTCATGGATTCTGAGCACACATGCACGTGCCCAGGATTCTCCCCAAGCCACTGGGTCTGGGACTTGAACCATACAGACGACCATGTAGGATCGAGCACCTCAACCTACACGGCACCTGCTGGCCCTGGTTTTATTTTCTTTTTAAGGGAGTTAATAAATACTTGTTCGACATCAAATAGGAGCCTGGCATGATCTAGATGCCTGTGAAGTCAACCCTAGACAAGATAGGTATAGATCGCACTCTTAAGGGTCAGAATATGTCATGGTAACGGTTCAAAGAAGAAATAACAGTTCTGGCGTTTCTGTCTCTTCCTCTGGCTCAGACTGCTGGACTCAGAAACAGGACACACTGAAGTTTTGAACATTGGCCTGGATGCTTTCACTTTTTCAATCTTATTGAAGAAGGGTTTGCTTGGTGATTTTCTGTGAAAATCTATACAGACTGAGCAATTCCTAATCTGAAAAATCAAAATCTGAAATTCTCCCAATCCAAAACTTTTTAAAAATAAGAATTATTTTATTGAACTTTATTTAATTTAATTTGAACAGAGAGAGGGGAGAGAGAGAGAAGGGGAGAATGAGAAAGCAAGCTGTCAGGTCTGGGACTCAAACCATGGGTGGTCATGTGGGAGTCTAGCGCCCTCAACCACCATGCCACCTGTTGGCCCCCAAATCTAACACTTTTTGAGTGCCAACATGATGCCACAAGTGGAAAATTCCACACTGACCTCATGTGACAGACAGGTCACAGTCAAAATGCTGCAATACAAAAATATGAAATTAGCTTCAAGCTATATGTACAAGGTGTATATGATCCGTAAGTGAATTTCATGTTTAGACTGAGGTCCTACCCTCCAGATAACTCATTATGTATATGCAGATATTCCAAAATCTGAAATCTGAAACACTTCTGTCCCAAGCATTTTAGAGAAGAGCTACTGAACCTGTACAATCTATTCCTCAGCTCCTTTCCAGAATTTTCTGGAGAAAATGTCACACACCAAGGCAGGCAGGAGGCATGGTGATTAAGGCACTGAGACTCCCACATGGCCAATTTCTGTTGGAGTCACAGAGTGGTGGTTTGCTTTCTTACTCCCCTGCCCTGGTCAAATTAAAAATAATAATAATATTAATAAATGGAAAACATTTTAAATGTAATACTCCTATGTAGGTATACACACATGCATTAAGTCATAAATCACTTCTAGAAAGAAACTTGGTTCTCCTTGAACAATTTCTAATGTTTTTAAATTTTTTCTATTTATATGGGCATGTGTGCTGGCTGGAGAGACAGAGAAAGAGAAAGGGAGAGTGAGAAAGTACCTCCTGGAGGATGAGCACGTCACAGGCCCTTTTCCTCTCAAGATGTTGGGCATGCTAGCACAGGCAACTGGTACCTGGCTTGTGTTCCAAGCCTCTGCATTCAGGACTGTGCAGTAGGCCGTGTAGGATCCAGCTGCCTTAACCATCATGCCAGGGACTGGCTCTACAGTTTTTTGTTGTTGTTTTTTCATTGATAAATTGATTAGACTCTCAAAACAACATTCCAGATTCCCTCATTTTCTTATCCTAGAACTCCTTTTGGCCTATTATCCTCCTTTGCATAAATGTGCTCCCCAAGATCTAGCCCTGTCCCCTCCTAATGAGGTTATAATACCCTCCTCTCCTACTTTAACTTTCTTTCACCCTAATATGTAACTATGTATATCCACTCTCCCCAGCCTGAAGAAGACACACCACTGAGACTCATTTCTCAGAAAATAGAAGAAGTTGGGGACCAACAGGTGGTGTGGTGGTTAAGGCGCTGGACATTCCCACAACTTGACCACGGTTCAAGTTCCGAACCTGGTGGCTTGCTTTCTCACTTTCCCTCTCCTCTCTCTGTGTGACTCTCACTGGTCAAATTAAGATAAATGAATGAATAAATAAACCAAAATATGTAAGTATTAAAAAAAGAAAAGAAAATAGAGGAAGTATAACATGAAAGGAGCGGAGTAGAGAATAGGGGGCTTTGCGGGGGAGGGGTGTCATGTTGTGTCATTCTCCTTTAACCCTATCCTTGATTGCTCTTTTCTGCTTTTCCCGGTTTTCCTCATTGCCTTTTAACTCCCAAATTCCCTCTAATTCTTCCTGAGATTTCTCTTTAGGCTCCTTTGCGTCTCCGATTCTCCTGTCATTACAGATAAAAGCTTCATCAGCGATATAACTGTATTTCTATTTACTGTACTAGGCTGTCCAAAGAGCTCCAACTTTTAAGACTCTAGCCATTTCCTCTCATTCAAGTAAGAACAATACCCGTCCCTATCGCCCTACACCCCCTATCCTGTGCTCTCTTTGTATTTGTCCCTCATACTCAAACAGGATCTTCCCCCACTGCAGCCTTTCAAGAAGAGGTAGTGGTGCTACCACCCTTCCCGACAAGGTGAAAAATAGGAAACAGCAGTAAAAGCGCAACCGAATCAGGCAATCGGTGCCCCCGGACCCAGTTTGGGTCCACTCCTTTTAACC